TATTGGAACAAAAACACTTTAGGCAACATTTTCCAAAAAATAGGAAAATTTTAGCCAAGACTAAAAGGTATCCAAAAATCCAATGCTTACCCTTATAGCTAATTCTTGTGGAATTTAGAACTAGATCTCTAAAATGAATATAAAGTCATGCATAAGATTGAAGTGGATTTTTGAAGGACCATGTCCAGAATTGATTGTCTTAGCCAAGGAATGTCAATACTAAGTTATTCCACAAAACCACCATCAATAAAAAGAGGAAAACATGATTAATAGTCTTGTAGGGTACACTGATTATAATACCTCTGAACCTCAGCAGATTGCCACCTATATCCAGTCAAACTTCATGAGACTGTTTATCACCAATCACCCTTATAGCACTAGGTGCCAAACTAGAGGCCATGAGCACTACCCCAGCTTAGTGTTGGCAAACTTGGACATAACTTAAAAAGATACCGAAATCATCCAAGCCCTGAAATCCTCAAACCCACCAAAACTCTTGGACCCAATGGACTCCATCCCCTCTTTACCAAAGGTGCATGAATGAGGTTGGCCCAAAAACTACAGAAATGGAACGCCCAAACTTTATTGATAGGACATTTTGACCCCTTTTTCCTCTTATCTTCCCCTGAATCTAGAAAGAAGTTTTTCTAGCAACATCATGCTGCACCACATGCACACCACCTTACTCTGCCTTATACCTAAAAATCCTAATGACACTTACATTAAGAACTTTAGGTCAATTGGACTTTGTAACACTACATATAAGCTGGTCACCAAGATCATTGTCAATAGAATCAAGACTTATCTTCCTTCCATCATTGGCCTCAATCAAACCAGCTTTCCTCAAATAGAAGAGTCGTTGACAATGTTATCATTGTGCAAGAGTTCATTTCCCATTTCCAAAAAATGAAAGGAAAATATGTTAATATGATTTTAAAGATAGACCATGAAAAGTTCTTTAACAAGGTCGAATGGTCCTACATTAGAGAATTCCTCCTCTTTTTTCAACTTTCCCCTTAAGCTCACCAACCTCATCCTTTCATGCCTTAGCAGCAGCTCCATTTCCGTCCTTGTTAATGGAGGGAAAATCCCCTCTTTTGAACCCTACACAGGCTAGGCAAGGTGACCTTATGTTTCCCTATCTCTTCATCATCTGTATGGAAAGGCTTTCAAGAGACACTAACAGAGAAGATGGAAGAATTGGTATCCTATTAAACTTCCAACTCTGGCCCCAAAATTTCTCACCTTTTTTTTGTTTACGATCTCACCCTATTTTCTAGAGTCAATACTCCTAACTACAACACTATCACTAGAACCCTTGAAGATTTCTGCCTCAAATATGGACAAAGCATCAACCACAACAAGTCCAAAGTATTTTTCTCCTCTAACTGTACTTCCCATAATGCCTCCCACTATTCTAGCATCCTCAACATGAAAGCTAGCAGTGTCTTTGGAAAATATTTGGGCTTTCCCATCTTTTACAAGAAACCTAATCATAGTGACTTCCAATTCATCATGGATACCATGAAAAACAAGATTGTAGGGTGGAAGACTAATATCATAAATATGACTGGCAGAACTATCTTAGCTAAAGCCTCACTAGGTAGCATACCCAGCTACACCATGAAATACATCCAGCTTCCTGCCAAACCAACAAGCTAATTAACAGAATCCATAGGAAAATTGTCTTGGGGACCAATCAGGACAAAAAATAAATGCACCTTGCCAATTGGGAGACAATCATCTAACCTAGAGGGGAAGAGAGCTTTGCACTTCACAAGACTGAATTAAGAAATAGAACCCTTCATGCTCGAATGACATGGAGATTGTTCGAACACTCTACCAGCCTTTGGGGTGAAATGCTCACCAGCAAATAATCCAACCATGTCACTGATTGGAGGAGAAAACCAATCTCCGAAGTATGGAAGTGCATAATGGAAGGTTGAAAAGACATTAAGAAAGGCATTAGGTGGTTGTTAACAATGGAAATACAACCAACTCTTTCAACCATAAATGGATCCCACACTAGGACTCTATAAGGAACATTATGCATGGACCACTCTTCCAAGGTGAGGATGATATACTGGTAAAAGATATGATCCAAAATAGCTTCTAGACCCTCAACAACCTACCCTTTGACCTTCTAAAAAAAATCAGGGCCAATATTGAGTCCATAAATGTGTATCCCCATTGCCCGATTAATGATAAACCATATGGAATTTCATCATAAATGGGGAGTTCACCATTGCAAGTGCCTACAAACTTATCTAAGTTAACATTATCAAAGTTGGCATTAACCATGAAAATAGAGGTTTTGCCTGAATTTGGAAATTGAACCGCCCAAACAAAATTAAAACATTCATCTGGATCATGTTCCACAACAATCTTCCTACCTCCACGCACCTTAATAAAATTGCAATCAACATCCATCCGTGATGCCATACCTGTGGCCACCCTGCAGAAGATATTAACCACATCTTCTTAAAATGCATTAAAGCATCCAGCTTCTGGAAAAGAATCATGGAGAGGAACACTTTCGACCTTAAGCTTAATAATATCATGCTCTTTATTGAAAACTGGCACAAACTTTGGACCAGTAAAGTACAACTACCATCTCTCCTAGCATGTTGTTATCCCCCAAAGCTTATGGGTCATCTGGCTCCAAAAGAAACAACAATCTCTTCAAAAAGAAGAAAGACAACATCCCCACCAATACTATCATCAACCAGTCTTATGATTTCCAACTCCTTATCAATGAACACCACAAAGGAAACAAGGACAATATTTTTATCGTTGTTAGATGGGATCTTACCACAACTGGCAGATTCAAGCTCAACACCGATGAACCGGTGAAAACTAACCCCGTCCCTGGGGGCTTAGAGGTGTAATTAGAAATAACAGAGGGGATTGGATCATTGGTTTTATTATTAGAGAGGCCCATCTAAATCCCATCCTCACTGAACTTAAAGCCCTTAGACAAGGACTCTATTAGGCATTGGAGTCTATGATCCACCCTCTTGACATTAACACCAACTCTTCTAAACTAATAAAATTGTTTGAGCATGACAACCACCCCTACTCTAACTTGATCTTCGAATGCAGGTAACTCATACAGAAAATGGGAGCTACAATGCCGACAAGCATATTCCGAGAAAGGAACAAGGTGACGGACATACTCAGCAAGGAAGGGATTTAAAGCAACAACTATGGAATTCCAACCTTTTTGATATGTATGCAAATAATGCAACCTGGGCAGATATTTCAGGAACTATGTACTCTAGGAAGCTTAATCCTGACTTTTGTAATATTACCGGCCATACCACGACCCAAAACTCAAACATCTCTGCTACCAGCAGTATGTTAACTTCTACTTAAGTGTTTTATATATATATATATATATAAAGTCTTTATCATCAAAAAACATTTTATGAAGTCATTCGCTTGCCTTTAGCTTTGCATAATATTATCCTTTGTTTAAGTTAATTTTTCAAATGGTCAATTAAGTTTTGAAAGTTTTGATCGATTGAATAGGTATATTGGTTAAATAGGTTTATTGAGAAAAATTAAGTGGAACATTTTAGTTTTTTTCTAAATTTGTATGCATATACATAACATGCTCGTTTGTACTATAAAAAACGTTGTAGTTATTCTAAATTTGTATACATAAATTACAGGAAACTTTGAAAATTGTGTTTGTATAATTACGTAAGTTTGTATATCAATATGTTCTCTGTGTTCTCCATCAGTCCCAACCAAATGGCAAACTAGGTGACACACTAATTGTGAAAAACAATTAATTTAAATTATAGCTATAACATTTAAATATAGTTAAGTATTTATTATTTCGTACAATGTTTCCAAAAATTAATGTGGCGTGTGAATGAATAGAAAAGAAAGTTTTTGCAGTGTGAATGTATATTTTAGAAAAATCATAATAATTGAATAATTTTATAATTTTTAATAAAATAATTTAATTAGTAAGGAATTCTCAAAATTTTAGTGATATTTCATGCAATACCTCACTTATTTTAAGTTGATCGACTTACTTAGGAATTGTTTAGTAGAGTGTATTAAAAGAAATAATGCGTTAATTAATAGTATATTGTTTGGTAATTGATTCACTTTTTCATTCATATATATACTTACTTTTTCATTCATATATATACTTAATGCTTACACTAGTTATAGACTAAATTTTGTATTGAGGTGTATATTTGTCATACATAAAAATTTATAGTACTAATAATGTATAGACTTTTAATGCATGCATTATTACTGTTAAAGATACAATTCTCCTTAAATTTTTTCTGCATCTTTTGCATCATATTTATGGGGGCATTTTTGTAAATAAATATATTTTTAGAAACTATGCAATGTTTTTTTTTTAATATACGAAATAAAATAATGCACAAAAACTAACCTATTCATAACTAATGCAAACATAACTAATATAAATATTGTTAATAAACTTTATTTAGCATTATTTTGATACGGTCTACCAAATGGTTGCTTCATTACTTTGGCTATCTTGACTATAGGCTAGCCTTATGAGCTACGTACTTATGTTAGTGTGTACCTTTTGAGACTATTTTGCTTTTAGTAGTAATTTGTCACGATTCTCACTGTCTTAAGTGACACCCACACTAAATCACATGATAGAAGAGTTGAAGATTAACCTGAAGCCAATCAAACTCCATTATAAAGCCCAAGTATATCAAAATAAAGAAGTAAATTAGTTTCAACAACTAAAAATTGAATCCCATAAACTCTAACTCATAGCCAAAAACATTAAATGGAAAAATTAACTCCTATGGACTGAAAGTCACCATACCAAAACTTTAATAATCAAGATCGAGGATGCAACCCCAAAAACTAACAAGATTTTCTGCATTCAACAACAAAAAAAAAAAGAACAGGTGCATTATTAGTACACGAACCACAATGCATCGACAGGATTACAATATCAGTTTAAGATATACGTAAATAGTTCACCACATTACGGTAACACAATACAATGCATCTGTCACGACGCAAAGTACACCCCAGACGTGACTAGGTGTATAAGACCCCGAGAGGTCCTATACAAATCACTTAATATACATCATATAAAATAATTATAAAATCAAGAGAGTTTAAAAGACGATATCAAAACATCAGAGTTTATATGTAGTGAAAGTCTAGCATAGTCTCAAATCATCTAATACATAAAGAGTGAACGGGACGTAATCCGTACATCACATACAATACTGAAAATTAAAGATAATATGAAATAAAGGTTCAATCTTCGGAACATGAGGATTCACCAATATTTAATATCTACTAAGACGATCTCTAGCCACAGGGATGCGACATCGAAACGTCGGACCTATATTTTTACAAAAATGTAGGCAAAAGTATGTGTTAGAACAAATATGTAAGTATGATATCAATGCATAAAAGTATGAAATCATGCTAAAAAGACCTTTTCATGAAATGTAATGACCAAGCTAATGGGGATGCAACATCCAAGCATCAAACCCTACATTTTTACAAGAATGTAGGTAAAAGTATGTGTTAGTATAAATATGTACCAAGTATTATAGCAATGTATAAAAGTATGAAATCATGCTAAAAAGACATTTTCATGACACTCATTGACAAGCTAAATCATGAGATAAACATAAATCATAAAATATGGTCAACGCAACTAATATCTTTAAAACATTCGTGAGATACTTTTAAAATTAACTTTAGTTCATTCTTGTGGGGGATTTACCTTATAATCTTAACTTATCATATCATTATAGTATATGAGTATTCACCTCTTGTCATATCATATCATTATAGGACATGGTTAATCACCTCTTGTCTTATTATTATGGAACATGAGTAATCACCTTTTGTCTTATTATTATGCAACATGGAAAATCACCTCTTGTATTATATTATGGAACACAAGTAATTGCCTTCTGTCTTATTATTATAGAACATGGGTAATCGCCTCGTCTTAATGGAGTATGGGTAATTGCCACTTGTCTTATCATTAGTGGACATGGATAATCACTATTTTCTTATCATTAAGAGGACATAGATAATCACCACTTTATCATCCATGGAAGACACATCAAGTATCTAACCCAAGATAGATTTTTATTAGAATAACTCCTGAATCTTGATTTAAAGTTTAGTTGAGAAAAACCTTTCAACCTGAGAATCCTTTATGTGAGAAATCCTTTCTCAACAACAACAACAACAACATGGATGTTTTACTCTCAAATCAACTTAAGTCATTTTTCATCAATTTCATATATAACTTACATATCTTCATAAACTCGTCTTTCATAGTTAAAAACCCCAGATCATAACATCAAAGCCTAGAAATCATGATTCATGCATGAGTTCATAGGGAGATCAACTTAAATTATGCGCAATTTGTTCAATTCGTGCATAATAAGATATAAAATAATCAATTGGATCAACACTGAATTTAACTTTACAAAATTGGAGAATTTAGAAAATCTATAGAGGAAAGGACTCCACAGGTTAATAATTCATACCTTGATTCCAAAAGATTGAAATCAATGCTGAAATTGGAGACTTTGACTTGGAACCCTGACCTTCTTCTTCAAACTTTAGAGAGAGAAATATTTGGGATGAAGAACTTGGTTAACTTTTAGAATTTTGAGAGAAATTGTTGACTTGGGTGATTTTAAGGGTAAAAATCATTATAAGGACTTAGGGTAGAAGTTAAAATGACATAGTATTGAGTTAAGATATTTGGAAAAAGATTGTAACGACCCTGATTTAAAACTGTTGAAATGACTCTTTGGAAGGACTTCACAGCCGTCTAGAGCACCACAACCCATCAAGTGAGCCGTGAAGATGCTCTACCCAACAAGTTTTCACTATTTTGGGCATAAACTTTTACTTCAAATTCAGAATCAGGTAAATTTGATGGGTTGAAAGAAGACTCAATTATCTTTAACTTGATAGGTCATGTGTCACCTAATTCATTTCGTGCTGAAAGATATAATCGTTTAAAGTTGACCATAAACTCTAATTTTGAAAAGTCACCTTCACAGATGACTTTATGGTTCGTGTGAAGCTTCAAGGGTCGTTTAGACTTTTCTGGCCCCAAACAGGGAGAAATCCTTTCTGATTAGGCCACTTGACGACCCGTTTGATGGTTCGTCACTATTACCACGAATTGTTTGGGCATTGGTGTGTGACACTTGCCTAGGTAAGATTCTGGAAACATACCACGATCTCTTCAACGGACCATGTACCCCTTCACGGCCCGTCTAGGACTCCGTGGAGAACTCAATGGTCTACTTTTTGGGTCCTTGACCAGCCCGCTTAACCCATTTCTTGCCTTTCTTTAATTTGAGGTGTTACACAAACCACATAAATTCTCAGTCACGTGTCATGAAAAAAGCAATATCTGAATGCCTGTCCCACATGATCATAAATGCAAACATTCCATTCTCTCATGAACCACAATCATATACTCGACCCTCTCACAAAACTCAAATCCAAATTGTCAATGGACCAACGTGATATTCGAGTCATTATTAGTTAATGTACCAGTGTGGTACCCGATTCATCCATATTTAGTGTACTGACGTGGTACTAGATTTAACAAACAATTACAAATAATCATGCATGATGAACAATACGACTAGAAAATAATAAGTCACGATAATAAGTTCATTACATGATATTACATACACGATGTTATTTTATATGTCTCCCTACCATTAATTGCACAAATGATACCATAAAGTAGTAGATATGCATACATACACATTGAAAACATACAATCATCACCTACCTTGAATCAAATCTCTTGGAAACTCTAAATAACCTAAGTTGTTCCCGTGGGACGTGTCTTGGCTTGTTTTTAGTCAAGAAAATAATATAAACAATAGTCAATCACTAATGACCTATAATTTACTAGTATTATAAACAAATCATAATCTTATGAGAATATATGATCATCTTATGTCAACCTCTCTCCCCCCAAGGGAAAATGTAAGACCCCGAAGATGACCTAAGTAACTAGAGTCTAACATGTTGGTATTGATGTTCTAATGTTCTAAATATGTCTAATATATGGTATAGCGGCAGTAGCTAAAGTATTAGGGGTGTTGGAAGTCAAACGTCAAGGGATGACTAAGACGTCCGACGACTAAGTCGCTTAAATGCTTAATATGTGGTTCTATGTGTTTATGTGTGTTTCATGATGTTTTAAGGTTATTAAATGAGTTAATATAGCATGTATAGGCAGTGTTTAAATTTTGAGAAGTTTGGAGGTCAAACGACCAAGAACATCCAAGGTGTTTGAAAGATATGTCTTGAGTTGACCTTGTACGTCTAGGCCAGTTTCGTTGAGTTTTACGTGTTCGTTTTGGATGAAATTCATGTAAAAGGTGTTAAAATTATATACGGTCTTATTTGAGTTGTAAAAGTCCGGGAAATTATCTCCAAGGACCACCAAAGGGTCCTTCAGGGAGGACCCAAAATCAGTGTGCAGGCTGTCCCAGGCAGACCTTGGCAACGGAGCAGTCAACGGCTAGTCGTGGCTGTGAAGCCCCGTCAAAGGGTCCCGTCGTGAGGAAATTTCCAAGGGTTAAGATAGGAACTTTGTGCAGCCACTGTAGCCAACGACGGAGGGATGTGATGCCCCGTCGTGCCTGTGACTCCCCGTCAAGGGTAGGCGTCATGCGCAACCTGTTCCTGCGTAGGTGCTGCTGCCAATTAAGGGATGAATTGGTAAATTAACCCCACTTTTGAATTAATTCATTTATGATTTATTAAGGGTATTTTGGGTATTTTAATTAAGTATATAAAGGGTATACACCTTAAAGACTTCATTGTTTCTAATTGAAAACTCAAAACTCTTAGAAAAATTCTAAAGACTCTATTGAAGTCCAAATTGAAGAAGCAGCTTGGTGTGGGGTTTTTGAGTGGAAATTCTTCATTAAAGTGAAGAATTATTATCCTTTAGGTATGACTTTTGATCCTTTAAACTTGTTTCATGAAGGAGCCCAACTCTCAAGATGTTTTTCAAAGTTTTCTAAAGTGAATTGTCCAATTTCATGATTCTACCATGGGTTCTTACATAAATGATTTCTAAACATTGAATTATGATCTAATTGATATTGTATTGATGATTTCAATCTAAATTACTTATGAAACCATGTAAATTGATGAACCCTAGTTTTGACTACTTATTGAGTTACTTGATATTAAGCTAATATTGTTGAATTGTTATGTAGTTTCTTATGGGCTTTCTAATTATATAAGAATTATATTCAATTGATATATAATTGATGTTATATTGTTAAACCTAGATTGAATTGATGTAGATTCATTGAGTTTTATGGTTATTGCTTTGAATTATTGTTCATGGTCATGGGTAAGTGCCTTGTGTTGTTGAATTAGTTGATTTGGCATTGAGTTGAAGTTTGGATGAGTGGATGAAGGTATGCTGCCCCATTTTCTTTAATTTTATATTAATTATACTTCGATTCTGTTGTGATTGGTATGGTCCACTTATGGTGGCGGTGTTATGTGTTTTACTTGCAATTGACGTGACCTTGTCAGCGTTACTTTATGCAATATGATGAGCATGACCTTATTGGCAACTACTTGAAGTAATGTGGCTATTTGTGTAGTTGATTATGTGAAGCATGACATTATCTATCTACATGTGAAGTCGTATGTGTGTTCTTCTACTTATGTTACCTTAAGTGATCATGTTAAACTATGACTTTGACATTATGAGTATAGTGTTAGGGTTACATCTTGGTTATTCCTACTTGTATTTGTGAGTATATGTGGAGTACATTAATGATGTTATTATTATATATAGGATGACTTGAAGATATTAGATTGTTTTTAGGTGTTTCTAGAATGACTTGCATTATGAGTTAAAAGTGAAGTATGCGTTTTCTTGTCTTAGTTGACTTGTATCTCTTGTTTCATGTGTTTATGGTTATGAATATATGATGTCTTGATTTAGGGCGATATAACTCTTAGTCTTGAATGTATGAATGACATGTGACTTTAAATGATGTTATGAGAGTCTCTTATGTGCAAACCTTGACTTAAGCGTAAGGTTAAGATTGATTGAAGTGTAAGACGTAATGGTATCCTTCAAAGTAAAGGAATGACGGACTTAAGGTTAGTTGACTGGAACGACATCATATTAATCCTTAGGAAAGTCATCATGAGCTTCTTGTCGCCATTGTGAGGTAGCCCTACTGGACCTTCCTTGGTAGGGTAAATGTGATTGGGTTATGAACTTGTTATGAAACCCTTTTATGTGAACCTAATGTATGAATTACTCTATGAGAATGAAGGCTAGTACCGAGTTAGTATGATAAGGGAAAGTAGTTCTAGTTAAGTATGAGACTCGATTACAAAGTATGCCCTTCATATTTCTTAACCATGTGCCTACATGGGATGTGTCTAAGTTCTACCATTGGCAAGTAGAACAACCTCATCGGAGTAGGATAGAACTTTGGATTCCATGTCTAGATATCATGGTCTATGTCTTTTATTGCCTAGTCTCATCATATGGAATACCTATTAGCATTAGAGGAGTTTATGGAGTTTAGGTGGGTGTTATGGGACGCTATTTAGACATTGCACAATAGACTTTGAAGGTGTTATGTGGAATTCCTAGGTCTTTTCTAAGACCATTATTTGAATGTCCTTTATGTGATGTGTGAGTCTTAATGAATTAATGACTTATGTTAAGGAGTATGTAAATAAATGAGTACCTAATCTAAAGTGACTCAAGGATTCCTTAGCTAAAATGTGAAGAGGGCATAAGGGATGATCTCTTCATGTCTTATCTTTGAAAGTCTTGAGGATGACTCTATTAGGGAAGTTGGTTGATTTTGTGGACATGATCTAAGCCTTAGGTAGTCTTAAGGATTATTTAGGTAATCTTGAAGAGGTCACTATGGATGTTATCTTCTTGATTTACTTAAGTAGGTCTTTTGATAACCTTTGGGAAGAGAATGTCATATCATCTATGTGTTGGTGATTTAGTGAGAATGATTCTATCCTAGGGAGTTTATAGGATCTCTTGAGTGTGTGTGTAAGGGATTGTATGGGTGGTCGCTTCACAACTCACTCAAGTGAAACTTAGAAGTCACCTTTGGTAGAGGAATCTTACCTTGATGTTTATGATACTTTCTAAGTATGTATGTGACTCATTATAAGTAATCTTAAGCGTCGTTTAGGCACATCTAGAGAGGGTGTATGGGCGGTCTCTCTTTGTGTGACTTAAGTGAATCTTAGGATGACTTTAAGTGAGAAAATTACATGCTAGAAGTTGGTTATTCATAATTTTTACGCATAATGCCATACTTAGTACATGTAGTTATACTAACGCCATGCTTTTATCTATCTATATAATTCTTGGTAGGTGGGAAGCTTTGAGAAGTGAAGACTTGGACTTAGAAGATCGTTCAAGAGAAGTTGAAGTATGTCCTCACTTGACTCAAGGGCATATATGTCTTTAATGTTTTCATTCAAAGTAGTGTAATATACTAAGTATTTCTATATCCGTATTTTGAAGTATGGTTCGTGCCCCAAGCATTCTTGTGTTTTAAGATGATGAGATTGAGACTTGGTATTTCCTATTACATTTATATGAAAGAGATTTTA